TTTTTTTTCATTTTCGTGAAAGGAAATGAGGTGTATGTGCTGTCGAACTGGAATAATTTGAAAAAATATAAAAAAAGAAAATAAGTACAAAATGTGTAGGTAGATATGAAATTTCTTTCGATTGTTGGTTTGGCTGCTCTCTTTTTTTTAATTAAATTACATAAAATATAAAGCAATAAATTTATTTAAAAAAGTTGTGTGCATTGAGTAAGAAAACTGTTAAAAAAAGAAGGTATTATTTAAAATTATTGCGGTTTAACCTTGTCAATTTTGTTGTTACACATAAATTGATTTTGGAAAATAAGCTCAGATTTGTGACATATGGAAATTGTAAAAGTGATTATGTGAATAGATTTGATTCATGATAGAAATCTGAAATTCTAAAACCTTTTCAATTTCAACTGTCATAAGACAGTTGAAATTGAAATGGTAATTAAAATATAAAAACCAATCGAATAAAATTAATATAGCGTTCTAATAAAAATTATAAAATCAATTGAAATCGAAGAAGAATTCTTTTTAAGGAAGAATTGACCTTATTAAATTGTTGCCATAAAAAAATTAGTGTGTTACTTTTAATTTCACTTATTATTTTTAAAATTATAATTTTAAATACAATTATTGTAAATTGCAATTACTTGAAAACATTTTCCAGTTTATAATGAAGAAGAGTGTTAAGAGAAAACTCAAAAAAATTATTTAAAATATTTTAAAAATTAATTTCGTTCGACTGCGGTTAAAAATCGTTCTAACAAACAAAAAAATTTCAATTGTTTCACTATGATTTCTAATATCCTGGAATTATTTTTATAATATTAATTGAAAAACACGTTATCAGAAAAGTTTAAATTTTGCAAAGAATTTGGTCGATTTCAGAAAATTATTTGGAATGTACAGAATTTTCTTATTTATACAGTATAATTAAGAAATTAAATTTTCATTGAAATTTTCTTACGCAATGATATTTTTAATATCCAAGAATCAGAATTCAAACTTCAACTTTGAAATCCAAAAAATTTAACATTATAAATTTAAAATTCTTAACAATAATTTTGATTTTATTCAATTTATTTGTTATAAATATGGAATTCGGAAATTATCAAAATAAAGAAATGCTATAATATCTATGAAGATTTTCTTACTTCGGGCAATATAAGATTCAATAATATTACTTAAGAATAACATTAAATTTTCAAAATGTTGAATCTAAAATTTACAAATAAAATAGAAAATTTCATAGACCTTCAAAAATTTTTATTATTAATTACAAAAACACTTTGTAATTCTTTAATACCATTATTCAATCCAGCAACAACACATATACAAGTACACGTCTGTGTATAGAAACCTAAAAATTTCAACTCAACCATTTTTAAAAAGTCAGTCAAAAATTTTCTAATAAATAAAAACCAGAAAAAAATATAGGAAAAAATAACAGAAGGAAAAAAAAATCCCCGGATTTCTTTATTAAATAATTTAATTTACGTTTTCTAAAAGCAAAAAAAAAAAAAAAGAATTTAATTTTCCAATTTCTCTCGACATAAAAGAAAAATATGCAGACGTCTTTTGCAGAGACTCTAAACAAAAACAAAATTCAAAGGAAAACATTCTGTTTTTCTTTTTTTTTCTGAAATAAATAAGAGTAATTTTTTATTGCAAATTCAAGGATTTTTTTGAGAACTCAGAGATAGAAATTTTTTTTTAAAAATAGAAAAAAGTAACTTTGTTAAAAATATAACAGTTTTTTGTTCATTTTTCTAAAAAGAGAACAAAATTTTTTTGTGTTTTTGTTTGTGTTTTTGTTTTTAATTCCTTAACACTAAAAATCATTATTATTTTTCTTTGGTAGCGCTATTTACAATTTCCTTTCTCAACTGAGTAAAATAAAAACAAATATTCAGAGAATATTTATTTCTCTCTAACTTTAAACGGTAGCAGAAGATTAATAAGAGGAGAAGAGAAAATAGAGAAAAGGCTAAATTTATAAATTAGCTTTGTTATGTTTCCGGTTTTTTTATTAAAAAAAAGGAAGAATTACTAAAAATAATTTTTTCAATTTAAATTTTTAAAAAAATTTTTCCTATTCCAGTATAATAAAGAATAATTTTTCAGGACATTTGTATTAAATTATTGTACTCATTAATTTTGGAAAGGAAGTCACTAACAATATAAAGCAAATTTTTATAACAATTTCTTAAAAAAAAAAAATTTTTAGTTACTTTTTAAATTTAACTAATAATTTCCTTATTTCATTTTTTTGATTTTTAAATTTTGTGTGTTTAAATTTGATGGCTAAAATAAAAATTGAAAATGCTATTGAAAGCATTCAAATTTTTAATGCTATTGAAAGCATTCAAATTTTTCTTACATTTAAGTTTAATTTAAAAAATATTATAATTGCAAAGTTATTGAATTAGAATTGCAATAATTGCCTTCACTTACATTTTATATAAAGTTTTTATATTAAATTCAAAATTAATTGTGAACACAATTTTGCTTTTATATAGAATGATTCGTTAAAAAATTCTTTTGTATAATAAACCGTAGTTTAGAGATTCGAAAATTCATAAAAATTTTTTTTAGAAGTAAGCTTGAAATCTCGATAATTTCCAAAATGCAATGATTTTGAGAAAAATTTTTAAAAAATTGCTATTTATTCATGTTTTCCTAGCAGTATCCTCCCGTTTACGAGAAATAGGACCTTTTATATGAAAATTTTATAAAAATATCTATTAATAACTCCTTGTAATACTCTCTAACTCGACATGCTTTTAGAATGTTCATCAAATTCCGACAAATAATGTTTCTAATTTTTTTTTGCTTTTTTCTTACTTCATTTTATCTAGACGATTTTGCTAGAAATTTTTCAAAATTTTAATTGCTTTTTTTCTGTTACAGTCCTCTTGAAAGCATAGAACTCGCAAAAAGCTTCTCCAACGAACTTTGCTACGGACCATTCGTTTTATTTCTGCACACACCGTCTGATTTCTTCCTTTATTGTTCTTTGCCATGTATTCCTGCATCGTCCAAAACTTTTTCCCCCTTGTGGGAAAATAATGCTGTATTATTTATAGAACACTCTGTAGAAAACACTCTAAATAGTACTCTGTACATTTACAAGATATTATTAACAGTGAATTAATTTAAATAGTTTCTATGACATAATGTATGGTTTAAATTACTCAAATACACTTGCATTGTGAGAAATATTAATTTACAGCCCCTAAAAGTATGCAATTTTTTATAAAAATTTTCAAACATTAATTCGTTCTTGTTTTTAAATAAAATTGGATTTTGTGTTCAATATTTTGGTATATTTAATCTCACATCATACCATGATAGGTAACAAGCAATGATGTAAAGTGATTATGTAAAGCAATTCTCTTACTTCCATTTCGCTCAATCCTTGAACTCTATTATTAATTAATGAAAATAACACATTGATTTTATTTTAGTTTTTAACGCCACCTTATTATACTTAATAATTGTAAAATTTTTATAATAAACGTGTTAATATTGACAAAGGTTTTGCATAACAACTTATTGTTAAAGACGCCGACTATTTTAATAAACATATTTTTCCAGAAATAAATTTTTTCATTGAACATGAGAAAATTATTAAAAAAAATCCTGAAGAATTTCAATTAAAAATATTGAAAAGGAATAAAAAAAAATGTACAGGATGTAAAAATTTTCCATTGCATTCAAAGCAGACGTATTTTTCTTATTTAATTTTTTTTTAATATTTTTCCTTTATTTTTTTTTTATTTTTTAATTCTATTAATCCTTGTTTTTCCTCTCCTTTTACCTATATATATTTTAATAATTTCTATTTATAAAGTTAATATTTCATAATTTCTTATTTTTTATTTCAAAATCATATCAGAAAACCTGATCCTGTAATAAAGGAAACCAAAGAAGTTTACATGAAAAATAAAATAGAAAATATGGTAAATGACTGGTCAGGAAACGGAAACATTTTTAATTTTTTATTTTTATTTCTCATAATTACAGTAAATAACTTTGTGGTAAATAAATTTACTAAATTATTTTAATTTAATTAAGTGAAAATAGCTTGTTATTCAAAACAACTTTGTAAAATTTTAAAATAAAGATTATTTACATTTTGTAAAGGAAATAAGATAGACCGAGAAAGTTAGACAAGGTATTATGCGTGCGACTTAACGGTAACTTTGGAACAATTCAAGAATTTCCCTAGAAAAACTACTTGAAGCTGCTTGTGATGCAAAATGCACAAACTATAATTAAATACGGCGAAAGAATTTAACGGTACGATTTTTCTCTTTAACAATATTAAAACTGAAACACTTAAAATTTCAATTAAAATTTTAACAGCTTGTAATAACTAGCCCATAAATAACCGACAAGATTCTGGCAGTTTTCATTTCTTCAGAAGAATTTCAATTTTCTATAAGAGCATAATAGAATTTTTGTAATCAATTAGCCTTAAATTCATCATAATATTGCGGTATTCTTGATTTTCAAAAATCATTGTTTTAATTTTAATTAGAATCATTTAAATTCTGTCCTTTAAAATACCGTCACCCAAATGGAGTGTTATTTTTTATTTATAATGCTCGCAAATCCCATATAATCTTTTATGCATTTAAATCCTATTGTTATATCACATTCATTCAAAAATTTAATTCTTAATCATATTCAAAAATTAAATATAAAATTGGGTTCACAAAACTTTTTACTATTTATAGAATTGCAACACAATTTTTTTTAAAATTCATTAAAAATTTACACATTTTTCATATTTTTAAGATTTCAAAAAGGACCCAACACAAAACCGAAATCCATTCCAAGATATTAATCATCCTAACTATGTAATGAATATTTTTACAACCGAACGTGTAAGAAGATTTACAATTTTACATTTGTTTCCCATATAATATTTATGAGAAATTTCAAAAATTCTTATTTCATTATTAAAATTTATTCAAGAAAATAAATGAAAAAGTTGATAAACTTACCAACAACTTCTAAATAACCAAATTGTGTTTTAGCTGATACCGTATTTATTTGGCACATATAACGTCCTTTATCCTCTTGTTGTACATTATTTATATGTAAATACCATGTCCGATGTCTATCATGTTTATCATGTGTTACACTAATTCTTGGATTTCTAGTGATGACATGATTATGTACTGTTAATATTGCTGATTGTTCAAAATGCATCCACGCTACCTAAAATAACAAACACAAAAATAAATAAAAAAATAAATTATTTATTCATTTTAAATTTATATTTAAATAAAATTCATAAAACCATAAATAATATTTTAATAAGTGTGTATATTCCAAAATAAAGAAAAAATTAAATAAATCACAAGAGTGTAAGAGAGAAAAAAAATATTGTAAATCTTCCTTTTTTTTTCAAAACTAATGCATTTTTCCTTCTTATTTTCTTTATTCTTTGGCAACAGGACATAAAATTTTTTATATACAGAAAATCTTTATGTTTTTCTATTGAAAAGAATGAGAGCTGAAGTTACCTGTCTGCATACACGAATAATATGAAATCCTTATAGAAATAAGAAAAATGATTATAGATTAAAAAAATAGAAAAGAAAAAGAAAGAGAATTTTTAAAACAAAAAATATAATGGCAATTTGGTAAGACATAAAAAATGAAAACGTTTTTGAATATTTATTTTTGTTTTTGCGTTTTTTCTCTCTATGTGAGAACAACATTGTGAGTGAGTGAATAAATAGTAGTGGAGAAATTGGTTTTTTTTTTTAAACTTTTTTATAAGTTATTAGACTAGAAAGTGAACAATAAAAAATTGGACAGGTGGAAAAAATAGAAACTAAAAAAAAAATTAAGGATAATTTGAATAAATATTTAAATAGCTCAATGACCTTTTAGTTTAGCAATTTTATATCCTTATTGTAATAGAGAAAACCGTAGACATGGTTACAATTTATGTTCGGATTTCTTCAAAAATCTTGATTATCTACATTGAAATAAAAATAGCAAAAGGCTAAAATATTTGAAATTAAATGCGAAGTGCTTGACAACCAGGCGGGGATTCTGATTCTAAAATCGGTTAGGGTGTCCCCAAAGATGAACTGACGGGGATGTGCTCTCGCCATAGTGTAGCACTGCTTTAGGTCCCGGGTCATCATAATATAGAGGGAAATGAACGGGCAGATGAGTTGGTTAAGTGTGGCTCAGCCATAGACATTTCCGTGGCGAAACGGGTTCTTGTTCCCATCAACACACTGAAAACGAATACATATAGGGATTATTTATTGTGTGTCGATAGCAAGTCGGGTGGACTTTGGCGATGTCTTGGAGGGACATTGTCTGCATAATGGCAATCTACACAGGATACTGGCCATTGGTGGAGCATACGGCTATGGCCATTGGTGGAGGATCCGGCTCAATGTTGACCTGATGATCACAGGGTACTGATAGCGCAAAACCGCATATTTGTGCTAATTGGGGTGTGGTGGACCTGCTGCAAATGCCAAGTTAACCAACTGAAATTATCGTCATGATACTGGGATGAGTACATGTAGTTGTTTTTGGGAGGCATATGATTTCGTTTGTTGCGTATTCAACTGCAATCTCAATGAGGTACTTGTACATTAAATCAATAAATTCTTCGACATTTTAATTTGAATAATTAATAATTGCAAATTCATGGAACAATATTGTAATTTCGTTATGGTCAATATTATTTATAATTTCATATAGTCTTACTTGAAAGTGAATAGGGCCATTGAACTTTTCTTTTTAAATATTTTAAACTTCAGCCGATATTAAATTTAATTTTGTATTTTTGTTTTGTTGTTCCACATGCATAATAGTCTTGAATTTCTAGAATAGCCTTGCAACTTTTAATATAATCGTATATACTTAAGAAGTTAACAACTTAAAAATGGATTAAATAAATTCAATTTAAATTTAGCTTGCGTCTGTTATCTATGCTCTAGCTTCTCTCTCTTTCAAATTCAAAATGAAATTTTTAGTCTTTTTTCTTCCTTAAATTTCACATTGAGGACAATATATTTTTAACATCACACTAATTTATGTACAAAATTATACGGACTTCTCTTCTTCTAAAACAAATAAAAGAAATTTTCGAAAAAAGTAAATCATGAGTTACTGCATTAAAACAATTTTTTCCCTTAAAATAAAACAACAATAAAGAAAAATAATAAAACTATGATAGAAATTTCAATTTATTTGCAGTACACATATGTAGATATTTTTAAATTTTTTATTAGGTGAAAACATATGGAACTCGAAAACATTTTTAACATTATAAGAGTATTTATAATAATGTTGCAGAGAGTAAAAGTACTCAACAATAATATGATTCATGTGTGATAACATGTATGAACAATAAAACTGTGAGCAAAAAAATTTCGTAATTTTCTCAAATTTGTTAAAATTCAAAATTAATTGCCAAAATGTTTCTGTATGTAAACTTTTTCGAGATGCCCAAGAGTATCCTACTTCTGATTCTGTAACATCAAATAATTCTTTCATATGAAATGATATGGGAACAAATGCAAAGAAATGCAGTGAATCCAACCAAAACATGTTTACAACATGAACCAAATCAAAATACTAGTAATTTATTGACTTTTAAGAAAATTTAATTCTATATTGCACTATGGATTAACACTTTTTGAAAATTAACAAAAAAATTGCCTACTTATAGGGGCAATTAAAATTCTGTATATTGAAAAAATTCTCTATTATATAGCAAAAATTATTCAATTCTTCTCAATTTTTTGCCGATTGTCTGCTCTCTTGTATGACCGGGAATATTATAAAATTTTTTGAAATTAAATAAACCAAAACATTTCTTATGCGGACATAGATGATTATTGTTCCATCCTTTCTCTCCGTTATCCATTTTATTATGTTTTTTGTTTTTATTGTTTTCTTCTAATGAATTTTCTGAAATTTTCATACACATATTGACTTCGTTACAAGGTTTGTTTTGATTTTGTTTTCTGAAAATAAATGTTGAGCATTTCCTTGAAATTTACTTTTTTTTGTAGCTGGTATGATATGTTCAATTTTTCTTTCATTTTGATTTTTATGAAGAATGAGAAATGAATAAAAAATCAAAATAAAAATAAGGAAGACATATGAGGAAAATGTAAGTTTAAATTGCAATATGTGTTAAAAATATCAAATAAAATAAATTGCAGATAATTTACAAAGATGAGATCAAAGAACGTATTCTTTTGATAAATTTTATCTGATTTTAACTCTTTCATCACTTAAAAACTGTAAGCCATTACTGTAGCTTTTAATTCGTTAGCATCACCAAAAATTAAAGAACAAATATCCCATTTCGACTTGTCCTGCAAGAATTTTCAATTAATGACAAATGAAGAATTAATTCAATAGGAACTTAACATTCTAATTTGAAAATTTTAAAAGAAAATTAGTCCGAATCAATTATCAAAAAAAGCGATTCCCAATATTTCTTTTAGTTTTCAAACAATTGCACTCCCAATACAACATTTTTATTGATCTGAATTCTATCATTATTCGACACATACAAGAACTGTTTCGGAAATAATTTAATTTTTAAAGAACATAACGGCAAATATAAAACAAAGACATATTCAATGAATAATATTTTAATAAAAAAAACTCACAATTTCCTAAAAAAAAAATCTCTTTCTCAATTATAATTTTCCGATATCAATTCTTAAAATAATATTTGAAATATTTTTCTTTTATATTTACATTTTCTTTTTTAAATTTTAAAATTTTTTTCGAAAATGTGTTAAAAATCATCAAAATATTATGAAAAATCTTTTGATTTTATTTTGAAATCCAATTTTACTTCTCTTGCCCTTTTTCTTTCTCATTTTCTCTCGCATATCATAAAATATTTTGAGCACATATGAAATACACAAAACATGTCAACTAGTGGATATGATATGTGAAAATTAACACTTTAAAGTCTAGTCTTGTCTTAGAGAATTTCAACAAAAAAAAAAAAAGAAAATTTTTCATTTGCACTTTTATTTTATATTGTTGTTTTCAATGATGAAAAGAAGCTGTTAGTAATAATAACTACACAGGGTGTTCGAAACTCGATAAAGCTCCCGATACAGTATGCTAGAATGGAATCTATACAAAAAAATATTAAGAAGCATTTTCCTTTTTTCGTCGTTCTTCTGAAGTTATGAGGCCTTATGGCTGGTCTTTCTAAAAACTCCTAAACTTTTACATTTCTGCTTGTAACTTGGTGGGTATGTGCGAAAAGTAAAGCTGACTTGGTGTATTCATTCGAAAGTAAAATTACATGCTTTATTTACGTGCAAAATTAAAATTTTTAAAAAATTTACAATTTACAACGTTACAGTTTTTTACACAGGACGTGACTGACCTATTAGTTTTTATGAGACGTGAGAGCCGATATTGCAAGCCCCATTTTGACACGGATATTAGGAAAAAATTTCATGAATGACATGCCTAATAAACAAAAATCTGTTCTTAAAACATTAAAAACAAAAACCGAAACTTTTTATTTCAGGAAGCCGAATTTTGAGCACTGATTACTGGTGAAAAAGGGCAGAAATAGGAAAATTTCGTTTTAAATTTTTATTCACCTGGAACAATTGTATCATCCAACTTCGAAATTACCGTTAGGTCCTGGACACCCTTTATATAAACAAATATAATAATAAAAAAAAACTCGTACAGTTATAAGGAAGAGAATTTAATCAAAGAAAGAATATGGTTTAGATAAGAAATTGTTGAGCATAGGGAATGAGATGGAAAAATACATCGAAATCGTGGTGTAAAAATTTCTTTGTTTTTTTTTTATTTTTGTCTCCCCCTTAACTATTTCCTTATTCATTTCGACTATTTTTCTTTTTCATTTGCTCACTTTTGTCTCGCATGTCATCAGTTTTATTTCAAAAACGTGATACGAATTTAATTATGCAGAAAAATAAAAAATAACAAATTATAGAGAAAAAAAAATCGAAGAGTACAGAGAAATATCAATTGTTTAACTAAAACTGTACTGAACCATATCGTAAAATTGAAAACTAAAATATAAACAAAGACAGAAGGATATAGTAAGAGAGTAAGAGAAATTTGAACAGTTAACGAATAACATAGTGTTGATGGTAAAAATTAATGTGGGGAATGATAAAAAAATATAATCGCATATAAAATGGAATAAGCCTCAAGAAGAC